GCAAAATGTAATCCAATTATCTAAAAAAAAATCTCCCTGAATATTAAACAGTTCTAACTCCCCACCAAAAAATTGTTAACTTCAAAAGAGAATAATCGTGTAAATGTGAATAGAGTATATTAGGTACTTTTGAAAGAAAATAAGTAGTTGAACGACTTTGAAAACTTTGTAATCGCGCTGATTCCTTTTTGCTAAATGCGACTCAATTACGGTGATTCTTGGAGGATTAAAAATACACTGCCAAAATGGCGCAGGTGGCTGCACATTGGAACTACATATCGACGCCGAACAGACCACGTATCTCGGTTGCGGCGTTTGAAAATCTCCGCTCCTAATTTTAGTTTTAGAGAAAAACAAATTAGTGTCATTCCTCAAGGTTTTCACCGAGTTTTCTTCGCACAGAGGAGTAAAATTACGGACGTTTTCAAGGATCGACGTTGAGTCGTTTTCTGTTTAAAACATGCAGTAAGAGAGGAATTCCGCAACGTTGCAAACCGAACTACGCGGTCTGGTAATTTGGACGTATTTCTGTCAAACGGAACTATGTGCATTGAGACATGAGCCCTGATACCCATAAGAATATTTGCATAACAGGGCTCACGTCATAATGCACATAGTTCCGTCTGATGGAAATACGATAATTTCATCGTTGATATGGTTAAAATCAAGAGGAAAAATAAAATTGCCTACGCATGCTCTGACAAATCTGACATGTCACGTAGTCGCGTTCGGACACAGAAAAGTTACCCGGTGCGGTGGGAATTTTCTGAGGACAGTCGCCAGCTGTCTCTTAGCACAGACTTAAACGGAAGGGCAAAATCACCACTCATAAGCCGAAGTACGGAGTCTGTGGCTCAGTACATTCTCATCGCTCTCCGTTTCATTGCTACCGCTTTGGAGTGCTGTGTATGTTGCCTATTAACGAATTGAAGGGGCTCTTCTAAGTCTAATTCATTGCAATGATATAACTGAAATAAGGTGTGATTTTTAATTACATTTCAAATTACTAATCTTTCGCTAATTCGTCTGATAGTTTGAATATGGTATTAATGGACTGAATTGGGATAAAAAAACATTGCAACTTCATGATAATGACATTTAACTGTGTGATAAACACATTTCCCATAAAAGCAGTACTGCTGACGGACCACTGGCCAAAGTCAGCAGTACTTTTCATAAAAATTGGACAATATTTAATGTCAAATTAGAACACATAATAATGAATAAATTAAAACTCGGAAATAATCGATGATTACTAAACGTTGCATCGTGAAAAAAATTAATCAATGTTAAGAAACGACCTGACGAAAGTGAATATGTTTGACGTATTTATAAAAACGTATTTTATATGTTTGACGTATTTACGGATTGGAGTAGGTTGCGGTGTGAAAGGTGGACAATAACATGAATAAAAATATTATTTCGCAGGACTGAAGAGAGTTAAAGTCAATATAATTCCCAGATCCCGTCATATTAGATTCCACGCCAGTCGCAATGAAAGTAATTTAGAGTCGATTAGAGACATTTTAGAGTCAATTAGAAGTATTCTAGAGTCAATTAACGACATTTTGAGTCAAATTAATCGAAAGATTTTCTTCGACTAAAAAATAGAGTCAAAATTGGCTCAATGTCTTCGTTAATATGGGAATAAAGTGTTATTTTTTTTAACAACGATTCTCTTAAAATTAATTCGCTTCATGTAAAATCAACTACTAATGAACCTACCTAATTAAAAATTTACGTTTCACCACTATAACACCGGGATTTTTTTTTTTTTTTTTTTTTTTTTTTTTTTTTTTTTTTTTATCCAAAATGGTCGTGATTAGTATTTTAGCAACATGAAAATAATCCTTGCAGGCGGGGTGATTATTTTTCTAAAATCCGGCAACACTGTTTTCATTGCACGTTGGTAGCTTGCGGAGAATGAAAAAAGAGGCTTCTGTTGGTAAATTAAAACCGACTAAAGCGTGCCTTTTCAATAAGTCAAGGGGGTTGTTCCTTCCCCTTTCTCCTCCTTTCTTCGTAACTTTTTATTTATTTATTTTTCCTATGCTACCTATCGGTGCATTTAGCCGCCGTGTTTGTGCCTGTGTTTTTAGAGTTCCATCAAGTTTTTTCGCTTTTATATCATTGGTTATTCATCACTGCTCAGTGCATGGACGACCTCAAACAAACATTCGGACTGGAATAAGGTGAAAGAGTAAAACCCGATAAAGTCACATTATCTAGTTCGCATTAAAGCTTTCAGAAGAGAATTTTACCTCATTAATTTTAGGATTTTCCTGGATCTACGCGCACCTTTTTAATGGCTTTTTCTTTTCCAATTATCACTTAAGCTTTTTTTTATTTTGACCTCAAAAACATAATACAATAAAAAAACCTGTTGTAGGTCCGTAGTAGAGCCTTACAAAGAGTAAACATTATAACTAGTTAGAAGACAGAGTGAACGTCATAGTGAAGGGAGGGCTCAGACTTTACAATGAGGCATACCTCAAGACTTGGTGATGCTGACTCATGTAGCCAGGGAGGTTGAGGTCATGCCGGACACACCTTGCGGTATACCATCGGCGGAAGCTTCCAAAGTTTATTGAGTCCATTTCTATTCCTTGGATGGCAATGGCTAAGAAAAAGTAACCATTGCATTCGTTGCTGTCGCGACGTTAAGATTTACAAATAAGTATTCCGCACGCCCAAATTTACACTGTCATACGTTTACGTAAAGAAATATATATGTAAGATGAAGAGTACCTATCAGCATAAATATTAGTAAGACACTCCAGCTCTAATGAGTATAATGGCTGGAGTGTGGTCCAAAAAAAGTTCCTAAACTTTGTTTCTCTTACAAGCCATGAAGAAAGTAAAATCTAGGAACTTCCCATATCCTGCCTACGATTGTAAAGTTAATAAGCTCAGAAAGTGAATCAAGTAATTCTTTTCCTATAAAGATTGTTTCAAGGTAAAACACATTTGTCGCTTTCTCTCATTGTTTCAAAACAAACGCTAAGAAAATGTGATGAGTGTGTTGAAGATGATAAAAAATAAAGGGGAAAAATACAGAATTGTTGTAACGAAGCTTGGAGGAGGAACTTGTAGGTTTGGCGATGTTGCTATTCTCTCCTTGTAAAATTCTCGATTTATTCCCATGAGAGTCATTGAAAGATGGATTACATTCAGCACAAAAGGAAGTAGCGCGATTAGAGTGTTTTCAAAATCGTGCAATTTTTTCTTTTCTTTTAAAAATACGCAATATACTTACTGTATTTACACAATTATTTTCCTTTAAAATGAACAATTTTTTTGGTTGGAGGCAAAAACCATTTGCTTTTCTAAGAGATTTTTTAGATTGTTATGAAGAAGCAACATTTTTACAACACTGTTATGGCGCTGGTTTCTGTTTGCTGAATCCCTGGTGATAAAAATTGGCAGTAGAATGTGTGTTCCAAAATACTATAGACCTAAAGCCGGCGGCAGTGAGATTTCCAATAGCTTCTGTAGCCGGCTGTACAATTTCTTATAGCCTTTTACAGCCGATGGCGATTAAGCAACAGCCAGACGATAAAGTTTTTGCTAAACGTTACTAAATACGGATACTAGGACTTAGTTAGTTTTTGGACTACCGCTCTCTTTTTGTGCCGTAGTATCTTGATTTATTTTGCGAGGAAAGCTCCGTACTTTTGAAAGATGCCTATCATTCTTAATATGTTGGAGCGTTTTCAATTTCTTATGATACTGTGCAATACCTCTGGTGTGAAGTAGTTGCTTCAGACGCCGTGACACGCTGCGGCGCGCCGGGCGGGCAGAGAGCGCAAAACGCTCATTGGCGCCTACAAACCTAACAGGGATACTTCACGCATTGCGCAATGCGTGAAGTATCCCAGTTAGGTTTGTAGGCGCCAGTGCGTCGCCGCGCAATGCGTGAAGTATCCCTGTTAGGTTTGTAGGCGCCAATGCGTCGCCGCTCCGCTTTATGTTAGGCTCTAATATTTAATCTCACGGAGTCAGCGTTTTTCAACTCATGATTTTGAAATGTTTGCACACTCTGTATGGGCCATCTCATTTTAATTCATGAAAAAACAATATGTTTTAAAGGAAAATATAATGTGTGTTTTGTAAATATTAAGGTAGTTCCGTATCAAACTTAATGATTTCCAACGCACAGGAATTTCTACACAATTTCTTATAGCCTTTTATAGCCAATGGCGATAAAGTGTAAAGCCCGGCGATAGGAACTATAGTCCGACTGTATACTTTTTTATAGCTTCGTATAGCCCGGCCATATGATTTGCTCCGCTTTCTACAGCCAGCTACATGATTTTCAATAGCCTTCTTTAGTCGACTATAAGAACTCCTATGGTATTTTGAAGCGCAGCTCGTATCACCAATTTTTACCAGGGATGCGATCCAACATTAGAAACAAAGTAGCTTGGATGTAGAGTCTAGACTCTTAAAAACATTGACAAGAAAATATAGTCTTGATTCAATCGGACTTATTGCTTGAATCAAGAGAGAATCCGCCTAAATCAAGAGGCTCAGCTGCTCGTTCAAGGAAAAATCTGATTGAATCAAGAGTATTCTTCCTTGTCAATATTATTAAGAGTCTAGATTCTAGATCCAAGCGATTTTTTTTTCAGTGAATTATGAAGAAGAAACATTTGTACAGTTCCTCTTTGCTAAATGCGATCCATGTCACGGTCATCGTTCGGGTCCGATCCAATATAACAGAGAATCCGTAAGGTGACGTCACCTATAATACCGTGCCCATTAAGATACACCCTACGAAGAAAATACCCGGTGTTATGTCCGCGAGGACAGTGACATTACACCCACACGCCCCTACGAGAGGGAAAGGGAAAGCTCCCGTGGCGTCGCGGCGCGTCGCGCGGGGTGGCCCGGGCGGCTNGGGGGGGGGGGGGGCGAGCCGAAGATGCGCCGAAAAAAGCCGATCCGGCGTCCCGCGCCGCGACGCCGGCGTCGCCGCTGAAATCCGGCCAGTGTTTTCCTCCTCTCGCCTGTGTCCGACGCGGCGACTCCGCTTCCGCGAATCGCGTTTCCCTCGTGCGTCTTCCTCGCGTGTTCCCGAGATCCGACTGTGAAATCCGTGGAGTGTCCGATTCCGCCGATGGTGGTTTTGAGGTTATGAGTTTGACGTGAACAGCGCGTGTCATGAGCTGAAGTTGGTGTTTTTAGCGATATTCCTCGAGTTTGTTTTGTAATTCGTCCCCCGAGTTCAGTGGTTCAGTGGTTTTGTTTGTATTCTTGTGATTTTGGATACTTCGGCTCTTGGCGTTCTCGAAATTAGGTGAGTTTTTTTGATTTTCGAGGTTTGGTCCGTCTGACCCTAGGTCAATAGGTCCCGGGTTTGAATCCCAGTAGTAGCGTCAAATTTTCACAGAACTGACCTAGTGGATCTGCTGAAATAGATAAAGTTGCGGCTGAAGGTGCCAGACACGAAGTCTTGAAACCAGCAGGAAAAAAAAGGTTTGGTCGAGGATCGACAAAAATTAGAGTTGCCCCATCAGGGATAACCGGGAAATGTCGGGGAATTTTAAAAATTCAGGGTAAACCTAGAAATGTCAAGGAAAATGAGAAAAGTGTGAGGGAAACAAAGATTCCTTGCTTTCTGGAATGAATCCGGCGTTTTGAACAACAAATTTCGCATGAAAACTATTTCAATTTATGTATTTCCAACCATCTGGCATAACTTCAATTGTCAGGTAATTTTACCCAAATATGTAAGGGAAATAGGGAAACTTATTTTGTAAATTCTGTGGCAACCCTGAAAGATGCACTGTGAGACACTAACACTTAAGTTCAGGTGGAAAGTGACGTTAATGACGAGATAACCCAATCATGAGGTTGATTCTGGGGTTTCTTGGTTTTCCAACTGTTTTTCATGCTATAAATTCAATGGAAGCTGTATCTAATTCAGCACGAACCATGCCTAATATTTCACCTCCCACATGGACCGAAACGTGGTTTTGATAGGTCTATTGATGAATAAGGCAACATTATCATGCTCGTAGCAGCATTACTGTGGTCATGTTGGCATGACAATAGATCTGATAATACAACTAAGCTCATCTTTACAATCACTAAAATCTTCTGTTTTTAGCCACGTTTGCTATTAAAACCGTGGTAATCATATAATAAATGTGCTTTTTTTTCCTGCCTGTGGACAAAGTTTTATTTGAAACACTTCGTCGCATGTTTTTCCTCGAACCTCGCGAAGGAATGATTCTCACCGCAGAAAGTTAGAAAATTGACTCCTAAGGAAGATGCAAGTATTTTTAAGTAACATCAATCGGATTGCATTTTGCAAAAAGGAATCAAGAACATTCCAATGTTACTGAGATTGTGCAACTTGAAATCTTTGCAAGAAATTACAGATATTATGAAGAAAATTAAATTTACGAAGCTAATATTCATCTGAAATTCATAGTTTATTGGGAGTAAAGATAAAGCCTGTTTAGATGATCAGTTTCTATTTGCAAGGAAAAAAGTTGCACAATCTTAGCGACATCGGAATGCATTTGGTTCCTTTTTGCTAAATGCAATCCAATTAAATGTCCCCAACACAAATGACGTTATTTGCGTGATTTTTCTTCCGTCAGAACTGTGTTACGCGTAAGCACATGTCGACGGTGAGACTACCAAACCACGTATCTCGGTTTGCGACGTCGCAGACTTCCTGTCATACTTCATTTTTTAAATGAAAAACTACTTAACGTCCAGTCTTGAAAATTTCTGTGATTTTTCCTTTTCGTGCGGAGAAAATTCCGTGAAAATTTCAAGGAATGATATTGATTTGGTTTACTTCAAAAAAATAAAATGCGAGCGTAGATTTTTAAACACCGCAAACGAGATACGTGGTTTGGTAGTTTCACCGTCGATGTTCGTATTGTTGTGAGGAGTGACTTCCGTACATTCGCCGCGAGACTCGTTATCTTCGTAAATTTTAAATAGGAAACATAGAGAGAGGTGTAGTTCATACCTTTGGCTAGTGGCCCAATGTCAACATCTCTCAAACTCCATCTGATGTTGCGAAGATTGTGCAAGGTGTTTCTCACCGTAAAAGATCCTTAGCACACACCCTCGTTCCGTGATAAAGTTGTCGTCGTTGGTTTTTTAATTTCTAATTTTCTCCAAACTACTATCTTTATTCAAGAGAAAATGTGTTGATTTTTGGCCGATAGTTTCCCGTTTAGTAAGAGGAAAAGGCTACGCAAGCTTAGCAACACCTAATGGCGCTTTATTAAAGCCACTCATCCCGCCTTCCCATAATTTTCATTTCCGAGTGGAATGTAATGACATGACGAGCCTTTGAAATGAAGAAGAAGTTTTTCAAACGGCTAACTCTTCCACACGCATCCGTAAATCCCTGAAATTAACAAACTGATGTTTGTAAACAACTGTTTTCGACCTACTAATACAATGAAACGAAAAGCCGGTTGGTGGTGCTTGAGGGACTAAGGATGGTGAGTAGGATATGTTACCGATGTGAAATTATTGTGTACTTATAAGGTCTATAAAGCGGTTCCAAAATTGTAGTATTAAAAGTCACGCACAGTTGCGCTTGAATTATGCTTCCTTTACATCAATATTTTCGCCATAAAATCGACTGAAACTTCGTATAAAAGAAATAGAAAGCCGCGATACTTATTTCACACGCATTTATCGTTAACTCCGTTCATTTTTGAACACCATAAGTACAGCGACGTAAATAATTGTAATACGTGTAATTTTAAATACTAAGCATCATGCTGACTGTGAGCCGTAACCTTCAGCAAAAATCAAAGTTTGAAATAATTAGCTCAGTTGTGAAGAGCAATCTTCTTTGCACTCCCATTTTGAGAAACAATTTTTGGACTGCAATTCAAACATTTAATCCTGAATTACCTCAAAATCTCTGATTTTCCTAAGAGGATGAGACCGGAATGAATTTTAGTTTACATGAAAGGCAATTGGCAAAAAGGAACCAGCGCGATTACACTGTTTTCAAAATTGTGCAACCTCTCCTTTTCTTTTAATAATACTCAATATACGTATACAGGTGTGTTAAAGTTTACACAAATTTTTTCCTTTAAAATTAACAGTTTTTTGGTGGGAAGCAAAAACTATCTGCTATTCTGGAGATTTCTTAAATAATCATGAAGAAGCAACATTTTTACAACACTATAATAGCGCTGGTTCCTTTTTGCAAAATGCGATCCACACGTATATCACAATACTTCTCTTGTAATTTTGTTAATATGGGCAGCATGCCGTAATAATCGTAAAGAGAGGCGTGTATGACTTTTTTTTTTTTTTTTTAGTTTCGGAAATGAAATGGCCGTGTTGAATAAGAGATTTAAGTGGATTCATCTTCACACTAGCGAGAGGGCAGTGAATGCAAATTCATACGCGGATTGGGAGAAGCTGTTATCACTCTTTCAAAGCTTTGCTGATAGCCGAATATGGAAATAACATTTTAATTGATTATCTTTGATTTAAAAACTCTGTAAAGAATCTGGAGGAAGATGATATGTGTGTTCCCTCTCCCCCTCACACCACGTTTCAATATAATCGTAAAGCCTGCTGCGATTTGGTGTCTGATTTTACTTGAGTGGCTTTTCTTGTTCGAAGACGGGAAAGTTTAAACGAATCGTTTTCCACCATAATCAGTATTAGTTCATTAGTTTAACCTAATTTTCTCTCATCCTGTGCTTTTTTAACTGAAAGCCACGCAACACGCTGACTTGAAATGTTGTCAGTATATTTTCCTTTTCTACAGGAGGAAACCCAAAAAAATTGTCAAACACGCGTTACGTTCTATAGCTTTCTATTCTGCCGTGCTCAGGAAGAATACCGTATGAACCTTCGAGAGTTGCCAAATTTCCCTTGATAGAATGTTTATTTCTAAGGAAATTTATGAATATTTTTCTTTGAGATTTTCAGGAGCTATAGATGAAATTGCAAACAAAATTATCATGAAAATTGGAAGAACAATATTTTTAAGTTTACCGGGAAATTCCTGCTTTATCAAAGGAAATTCGGCAACGCCTTTAGGTTCATATGGCGTTTTTCCTGCCGTGCTAAGGAAGAACACCGTATGAACTTTCGAGAGTTGCCAAATTTCCCTTGACAAAACAGGTTTTTTGACAACCTTCATGCATATTCTTCCTTGAAATTTTCAGATATTTTAGGTTTAATGGACTGCATTTTGCAATTTGGAACTACAAATTCAGGCTCTTCTGGAAAAACACTTATGTACATTGGGAAACTAATGGCACATACGTTGTTTTTAAACCGGGCTAGAATTTATAGTTCCAAATTGCAAAATGTAGTCAAAATTGCGTACAAAATTGTCTGAAATTTTGAAGTATAATATTCACAATTTGCTCGGTGGATTCGGGTTTTATCGGAGGAAACTTGTCAACGTATGAAGGCTCATACGGCGTTGTTCCTTAGCACGACTGTGTAGTTGTTAACTGCAAAATACAGTGCGTATAATGCCTGATGTGCCTGTATGCTTGCGACGGAAATACCGAGCTTTCTGCGGTTCATTCCTGAAGACGTGAGCATTGGCCGAGTCGCGAAGACGGAGCCGAGGATCTGTTCCTGGAAGCAGAAGAATGAGCGTCTTCGGCGTCGTCGAGTGCGGTGAGAGAGAAAAGACTTCCGGCGCCGGAGTGGATGTGATATCCCTCACTTTATTTCCGGAGCGTTTTTGCTCTCCAGAGTCCAGGCGGGATCGCATTTCCGGTTTGTCCACCAAATATTAGCGCCAGCACCACACCACGTCGCCGAGCTTTTAATCTGAGATACACAGCGAGCGCTCTTTTCCATCTTTTACTTACGCTCCTTCGCGTCATGGACCATTCCCGCGCTAACGAACAACGCCATATGAACCAACAAACGTTGCCTTCCCTTTGACAGAACACGAATTTTCGGCGAAATTTCTGGATATTCTCTTGTGATTTTTCATAGGATTTCGTTTGAAATTTGATCAAACAAATCTAAAAATTTCAAGGAAATGTATTCATAATATTCCCACACATACACTTGTAAAAAAAACCTCTTGGTTTAAGAGTGCCGTTTCTTGTCGCCGGACTTAAGAGTCTGGACTCTTGTTTCAATGCAAAATCCGCTTGAAACAAGAGTTCAAGACTCTTAAATCCGGCGACAAGAAACTGCACTCTTAAGTTAATGCACCGCGGCATTGGTTCAATAGGTTTTTTCTACCAGTATATGATGGGTCATTGCCGCGCGAAGGAAAGACGCCATATGAGCCATCAGACGTTGCAAAATTTCCTTTGACAA